ATATGTCCATTTGGCAAATTGCTTAAGGTGGCTCGAAGCAAAGGCATAATGACATCTGATATATAGGTCCCTTCACTTTGTTCATTTCGGGACATGCTGGTTTCAAAAGCAGGATTATTCCATATCTCCCCTCTAAATTTATAGATATAAGTATGGGTTAATATTCAATCTAACAATTACATACGATTATAAAAAAAGACAATTATTTACAATGTGTTAAATATTCGTTTTGCTACTTTTTCCAACTCAATCACATTCTCCTTCCATGTCTTATCATGGGTAAGATCATTCAGAATATCTGTTTCTGTCTTATTAAAATTATTCACAAACTCATCGCACTTAGAATAAATCAGCTCCGGGATTTCGCATTTCATATCCTCTCGTGGCTCCTAAATCGATGAAATTATATTAAGTGCAAAACATAAAACTTTCGAATCATTGTCGCTAATATAAACACAATTTATATATCGCTAAATTATTATTACCAAAAAAGTACGTCTTTGCCTTTGTTTTAAATTCTTTACCAACTGAGATTCATCACTAATAACCGTACTTGATAGCGGATTCCGCCAGTTGTGCTCAGAAATATCTATTTTTTCTATACCTTTCTTGAGAGCATCATAAAGGGATGCATCCTTATTTGATATAGGGGCGCCAAGTTTTGAATTTAATGCTTCAAGATTTTCCTCTATCTCTTCTCGCGTATAATCGGGGGTTGATTCTTGTGGTGTGTTCAACGCTTTTAATGTTTTTAAGCCCATAACGTTTTTATATCCAATTTCCATCTACAGCAGATAAACATAAGTTAGATTTGTGATCACATTTTCTAAAAAAAACAACGCTAAAATATATACGTGTAATACTGCGCCACATTTTACTGCGCCCTGGTGACATGGGGTCCCGCCTCGGCAATTAGACAAATAGTTTTTTTTGCAGTTGTACGATATTTTCAAAAATATATTATTAATAAAAGTTTTACCCATGTCCCACGTGTTAACGAT